CCGCCGTCGCCACAGCCGCGCCATTCCGCCCACCCGCTGTCCGGATGCAGGACAGTCACCGAAAGACGGTGGACTGGAGAGCGGGCTTCTTGACCAGCACTCGGCAGTCCCACAGGCAGCACGTCCCGCGTCTCTTCCTCCTGCTTCAGCAGCACGGCGGCAGGAAAGCTGGAGACGTGCAGCCCACAGAATAGGGACGGGAGCGCCACGTTTCAACCAGCCTGGCAGCGGCTAGTGCAGCAGTGCCCGGGCACGCGCCGTGTAGCAGGGCGGGACCAGCGCCGCACGGCCGAGGACGTCTGCTGCTGGAGCTGGAGGTTCGGCAATATGTAGAGCCCAGCTGCGAAGGTACTTCTACCATGAGATCTCCGCCAACAAGCGTTTCGGGTTTCCGGTCTCTGAGCAGCTGCTGTTCAGGCCGGTGCATCGAATACGCAGGCTCGGCCAGCAGCAATATGTGCGTAGGGTCACCCTAACCCCCCCCCCCCCCCCACACACACACCCGTGATGCAGACTGCAGACCTTGCTATTCGTATTAACTTATACACCAGGTACAATATTCTGAGTCGCATGCTGCACATGGTTTTGTTTCCAGCGCGTGAGTTGTTTTAGAGAAGTGAAAGCTTGAAGCAGCACTAACCAACGTACTCGTATAATGTGTTTATACTCAATAACAAAGTTTCTGCTACTTGACAATTAATCGGGCAATGCTTGATCCGCATATTTTACCTTAGACCGGGACATCTTCGTACGACGGCTTAAGAAGCGCTCGGTAACATCGTTTTAATACGCGAAATTATGTCGCATCGTTTGCTGCCCACGGCTTGGTGTCACATACAGCGGTTGGTGCCACCTAGCGTGCGGTGACAGGAACTCCGAGCGTTGGTTTACAGCGATATTTGAATCGTCTCGCGCATCATGAATTTAAGTTTTGGGAAAAATATGACTATGCCGTATACTTTTGGGCTGCAGTGCCAAGGAATTTCTTTCACTCGGTTTTGTTGCTAATGGTACACTATTGAGCGAGCTTATTATTCGCCTGGATTTTCATTCGCTTGTTTTAGCAACTTAACTACCGAGTATAAGATAGGACGACATGCGCTGAATGAACGCTATTATATGCATTTTACGGGTTCTTCGACGTGTAGTTAAACATAACGGTATTATGTTTTTCCACGCGTCTTGTTCTGCCGAAAATGCTTTGCTTTACCGCATGTTTTGTTTTTCTCATGCCATGTTTTACCGAACGATATAGAATGATGGACGATTGTAGCGCACTGGCTCCCTTGAGTGGCTTCAATAAGCAGAGCGGTATTTTGTTTTTCCACGTTTGTTCATGGATATTCTCCTCCCTGTGATGTTCATTCTAAATTAGAGGATGGCGAACTTCCGTAGTAAAATGAAGCTAACTAACTTTACAACGTTGTGCGATAAACAGAGGAGCATAATAACTCACATTTGCACCTCATCACCGATTTGGAGGGCTGAGTATTTCACCATGAGAGGTCATCTCAGGACAGATGCAAGAAACCTTTGAGCGTGTTGTCGTGGAGATGAATACTATACCATAAAGACGAATCAAGATAAGCATTCCTATACGCACAGGATCAGCACCCGTTACGGCTTCTGTGCTGAAAACGGCAACACGCCGTGCCCAAGATTAAAGTGTGCTGCATTCAAAACTAAGCCGGGCCAGAAATTGTCCTGTCTGTTCGTTGTAAATAATGATGCGCCGGCTGCTCATGACGCATTCGCGTCATCGAGGTAGTGTAGTACTTAATTCCTTGAGAATTTTCGCATAGAAATTGTGGGCTTGATACCATTTCAACATGACATGACATAATATGGCGTGACACATACGCCAGTGGGCAGTTAAACCATGCCAGTGGCACTGGTAAATTGCAAACTAAGCTTTAATGAATCGGGCATAATTATCTTGCCGCTAACCCACGTGACAACTTGGATTGGAATGCAAAATAGTGATCACGAAAGTCGAAAGTGATGGTTAAATGGGGAGCACATTGATCAACAACGTCACAATTATTGAACTTTAATGTAAAGGTATAATGACCATTCCGGTTTTTAGAGGATCTGATTTCGAAAGAAATACGCATTTTCTACATGTCGCCAAAGACATAATTTTGCGCACTTGTAGTAAGCCAGCGGGAGCGTGAGGCCAAAGACTACTTATGTGTGCAGGGCTTCCATGCCCATGATGCTTGCCGACATCGGTAATCTTGCGGATAAGGGAGGTCGGACTTTGGACCATTAAACCAAAAGTGATCACGTCCACAGGCCAATCGATCTCATTCAAATGGGATGGGACGCCAGCCAGAGAATTTCCATTATTCAGACACGGTGCTCATAAGGTGCAACTTGTAGTCATCACAGGTTTCTCGTACGGACGCTTGCGAAAGCTGCTGTACTTGGTCAAGACGGCATAAAATCCCAGCCAGTAAATCTCTTTCGGGTTGGCATTGGAAAGGCGGGATCTCCGTAGGGGCAGGACCCATTCTGAGCGATACTAAGGATGCCACTCTGCGTCACGGGGTAGCAATATATCAGCTGTGCGCTGCTGTCAAGCTCTGTGCCGGGTGAAGCTGGAATCAACTTTCCGGTGCCTGTCATAAAACAGGAACGGTGCCCACTAGACTTCGTCGAAGGTGCGACTCGGCGCAGTTTTCACATGTTTCTTGTAAAGACGTCTGCGAAACATGAGTTCGGCGAAGACAGCGTAAGATTCCACCCAGGAAATTCCTGTGTGCAGGGCAGGCCCGCCTTAGGGGCAAGGACGCTGCCTGGACGATACTATGGACGAGAGCCCCTTGTATTGGCGGGAAAGGACGCTTCTTGATATGCTTTCACCTCCCCCCTCCCCCCCCCCCCACACCCGAATAAACCCGAGCGCCTTGCGCGAAGGGCCTGAGATGTCGGTATGAGGTGGAATGAATACTGCAAACGTGTGTTCCTAAACACTAAATTTGAAGCATCACGCAGCAGTGCTCCACCCCGACCATGTGTGACACTGGAGGGGAGTGGTAGGGTAAAATTTTCGGGCCAAAGTTGATTAGCGATGCGACGAATAAATGCAGCGTATTATGTTAGCGGGGAACGAATGCATGAAACTGCATGCAAGTCGGTGAACTATAGGGACCATTGGATACAACGGCGTCTAAGGAGGTATGGGCAACGTTTAATTTCATTTAAGTCAGCTTATGTTGAGCCCGAAGACAGATTGGGGGAGTAGACGGGATGCTCGGCAGGGCGTTCGTTACTCAAGTCGTGTCAAGCTGGTGTAGCAGGGGGAAAAAGAGCTCCTGCCAATATTACTGTGTTCCTAGTCCCAACATCGCCATCCATCCCGAGCATCGAAGCACCTGTGTGTCTCATAAGCATTTGCATCTAGTGCGGAAGCAGTACGGGGTGCAGCAAATTACTGAGTGTAATTCTGTTTGCAAGACGGCCAGTTTGCCTGAACACATGACGTTCCTAGCATCAAGTAAAAAGGTCATGAGCATAACGAAGCAAGTTAGTATCCTTGTAAGAAAATCTACTTTTACCTTCAAGCATTCTTATTTTAAGCCCTCTACCGCCGTCGTCCGCTGTCAGGTGGCATGTGACTGCATGAGCCGTGAGGCGCCTTTGTTCAAGCTCAGACACGTGCACTGGCTGCATTCCAATCATTCCATCGGAGCCTGAAGTATGCCTGGCTTTCGAAATGCTGTCCGATACTCCCTTTAAAAAGTCACCCCCAGCGACTCACCACCTGCCAGTTGCATCAACTAGCTCTGGGATCTCAAGGTAATGCCTACTTTTGATTGATTTAGGCCAACCTTCGGACGACGTCTCGTGACGTCGTGACGTATGACGTCGACGTCATACTCGCTTCTCATCGGTTAACATCACGCTATTTCTGGACCCTACGACCATGAATCAGTTCCGACCCGCACTGTATATAAACTGTGCTATTGGTGCCCATGGGAGGCTCATGCTCTCTCCCGGCTCGAAGACGCGAGATCGCTGTCGGTTGTGTGTGTGGGCGTTGTCGTGTGAGTGCTAGTGAGTGTAAGTAACCAAAAAATAAAAGCCTTGCTTGACAAGATCTCTCTTTGGTACTCGCTAGAAGAATCGGCACGAGCGTGATCTCCACTAGCATAAACTATCACGCAAGCAGTCAGAAATCTGCTACAGTCCTAAAACTCTCTTTAGTGGTTTTCCATTGCACCAGAGCTCGTACGAAGGGATTCTAGAAAAGTTACAAAGGTTGCAAAATGTTGCAAGAGGAGTTCACTGCCAAAAAAATCACGATAGCACCCTAAAACCGCATTAAGTATTCTCGATAGGCATAAAAGATCCTGAGGGCGAATTTCCCACATTATTGCCAAAGTTTGCAGACTGTCGCGAGAGCATTTTATGGATAAACGAATCGAGACGGCGCCATAAGGTGGTAACCTTCGATTATTTCGCAAGGCACAACAGCCTAAAGCAGAATTCTGGAAAATGTTGCAAAAAGTTGCAAAAGGATGCAAGGGTAGTTAACGGCCAACCGTCGCGTCATAGAGATCCCAGATATACACCATTCTGCTCGCAAGACCCGGAAGCCCGCTAAAAATGCCACGACGGAAACGTTTCCCACTGCCACGCTACAGTACACATGTATTTAAAAACGTATTGAATAGCATGCATGTTGTTTATGTTGACATTGAATGTATGTAGACATTGATTTGTGGCTGGTGATGGTGTGGGTCCTCCTGGAAAGTTATGCTTGCGCTGGAACCTCCCGAAATTGGCATGTGTGGATATTCCCGAAACATGAATTTCGAAGGGATCTTTGTAATTCTTGAGATATTGTTTGCAATAACCTTGCTGCTCGTGACTAAGTGTCGGCGTGCAAGCAACCATACAAACATGCTCTGTGAGGACGTTCCTGCAGAGCACGTGATTTGCGTTCATAATTGACAGCCTACGAGGTTACAGGCCTGGTAGATCGAAACAGCACCAAAGAAGCATCTATGTATACGAATGCTGTGTGAAATAACGTGACCTGCACCTATACACTGAACACGATATCCAGCTTTGGAAACAAACGTACAGTCCCAGCGAATTAACTTGTAGTGAGAAAGCGACGCAGCCGCAGGTACTAAGGCGTTGTTCTTCCGCTTGTTTCCAGAAATCGCAACACGATTAGAGGTGCTTGCAGTACTGAGCATAACATGCTGTCAGAAGTGCATAACTCCCCCGCTCATCCGGTCGTCATCGTATCGCTGCATGATATGGCGAAGCCTCAATCGGCACTCCAGACCGCCTGCACGCTTCACAGGTCACGTGCCTCGTCACGGTGCGTCACATGGTCGCGTCGAGCTCGAAGGTCCGGTCCCCCTCGACCGTCGCACGCCTCTTGCGCCACCTCAACACGGGTCATGTTCGAGAGGGTAGCAAAGTCTGGGTCTGCCACCAATGCGCCAGTGTGACGTCACGTGAACCCAGTCCTCCGATTGGCGGACGATATTCCGCGGCGGTTTACAATGGGTTCGCCCGCTCTGTCTTTTCGCGTTGGTCACGTCACAACTGCGCCGCTTTCGAGTTCTGTTAGGGAGCTTGTGTCCGAGCGCACAGCGTCGTCTCCCATTGGTCCGTTCTGCTCTCCCCGGGAAAGTGGTGCCCTCCGGCGGTGACCTCTTCAGGCGTGCGACGCGGCTGCCTGCGAGGCGACCCCCGGAGGCTGCCGTCATGCCAGGATGTCCAGCATAGTGATGTCACCGAGGCTGAACTTGTTGAGCTCCTCCTGGATCAGGGAGTGCACCTTCTCCTGCGGGTAGGCATGGGGTAAACGTGGGGCTTGTCTGAACATTACCGGGGGACAAGTGGGGATCCGGCATCAAGCTTGAGAAAGCTACTCCGCACAAGTCTCCACCAAGCAAGCTTCAAAACGGGAAAGCTTGGTTTCCTCATCGTGGGAAGCGACCACATCGTACTTTTGACGCTTGAGGTCAGATAACTATTCGGGGGACAGAACGGGTTTAAGTCGAACATTTTTGAAACATTACAACGCTAACTTATGCTAAACGCTTGGAAACATTCCAAGTGGGGATTACATGGCTTTACAACAGTATGGGAAGGTTCGTCGATTGTGACAGTGGAAGACATCGGGTGCCTTGGCTGAACGTTGCAGCAGGGCTCAATAGTTGTTATGTAGATACCGTCTCATTTCTGGAGAAAGACAAACAAATGGTGTGTGCTAGTATGATAAAAGTGATGGAAAGAACACTTCACATTACGCGATGTGTGCATATATATATATATATATATATATATATATATATATATATATATATATATATATATATATATATATATATATATATATACATATATATATATGCATATATATATATATATATATATATCACGAAAAACAGTCCCGACAAACCCGGCAAGCTTAAATGCATCGATATAGAGAGTCAATTCCAATGAAATCTCGAGAGTTGCAAACTCCGCTCCATCCCATTCATTGGTGTAAACATAACGATATCCTCACGCCGCGTGATATTTACGCGATGCGGCACGTATAGAGCACATAGGACATGAACATGACAATACATTAACAATAAAACAACTGACGGACAACAGGCAAATTCTTCGGACGTGCAATGATAGAGGAGGCCTTCAAATTTGGAACACCACATATATAATGATTGCTATCCAGTCGGAAAAAAATATTGAACAACTCTTGAGCATTTCACGGTGTGCGCTAGGTACTGTGCATGCGATTGTGGCTTTATCATTGAAGTGTTTTCATGACGGATGCATTTTATACGTATCCAAGTAACGGTAGGAATTGTGTCTTCTCCGTACTAAAAGATATCCTTAAAAGGAGTGCTCCACACCTATGCGGGCTTTTAAAAACCTAAAGAGCCATCTTGAAGACCTTTCGGTGCTTTTTACAATCCTGCATTTCTTAAGACCTAATCTCTAGACTCTGAGCCCCGCGCCCGTGAAAATGGGGAAATGTATATCGGAGAGGGCACTTTAAAGTCACCTTGGCACTCATGGCATAATAATAACGTCATTTAACTCCTGCCATTCCATTAACGTCACTTAACTCCTGTCATTGCATAAGTCATGCGGCGATCAATGCCAAGAAAAACATAACTGTTAAGGCGTTCATATCTGGCGTTTGTGAGCGCGATTTTCAGATATAACGACCGTCGCTTAGCTCTCAACCAACGTTGTGTAACGTAGGATGATGTTTTAAAACCACGACGGCTTGAGGAGCATATTTACTAAACAGAGAACTATCTAGAGCAGTCTTTTCCACCTAAAAAGTATAGCAATATTTATATGTGAGCTGGTTTCATCATGTCTGACACTTTTATCAAAATCTTCAAACGGGAAACATTCCCTTTAACAAGCGCCGGGGTGGCCGGTTGGATACTCTTTGCTCGGGTGTGGGTCAATTTGACCCCTGAGATCTCTGGAAATAAGAGGGTTAGAGAAACCAAGTTCATAAGGTGTGTTGTTCTGTACGCAAGCTGAGGTCAAAGTTTGATGTTCCCAGGTCATGACCTTCGGGCCAAATAAGGTCAAACGAGGCCAAACTCCTGATTGGTCTCCAAAGTGCCCCCAGAACCTAAAAAAATGTTCTAAGCAAAAGGTCACGTGCTCATTTAAGATCAGTTACCATGTCTGACCTTTTGAAGGCCAGGGTGATGGAAATCATACAGGAATGCGTTCAAATTTTGCAATGAAATAAGCGAAAAAGATTATGCTACGTATTCTGTAGCTAAAAGCAAAATGTTGATCTGGGCCATTCTAGATACGTGACCTATACCGACCTTTAAGGAGTTCCTAGAAGACCCATAATGACGGTTCCTGTTATCAATAAATTCAAAATGAGCACCTGTGACCACCCCATACAGCAACCCTAAAACAATAAAACAGGCTGCTTTTCACCTTGGTCTGACCTTCATACCTGACCCTACTTCAATGGAATTTGTTCACTCATCTGTTATGTTGACTAAGAATGGTATTTTAGAGATGTACGGCTTCATCTAACACTCAGTTATTGCATCAGATAGAACGATTCCTTAGAAATTGACTTCGCTAAATCCATGGGCTGACTTTTACCTGCCGTAGGTCAGCGACCTTACAAGGTACATCTAAATTTTGTATACCAAACGATCCACTTTTCAATTATCTACAGCTGCGCAAATTTGGCGCTGCTGCACGGCGCTGTTCGGAGACCACTCCGAGACAACCTTCGGGGGTCAATTTGATTCCACACTGGAGCGCGTGTCAGGATAACAATGCGTAACTTTCATCCTTGAAAACTCAAAGCTTCTTACTTGCGTCATTTATATTCCTCCGACGATGGAAATGGGTCTCAAAGGGTTAGAATGTACTGGTGTCCATAAAAATTTGAATGATTTTGTTCGAACCATCTTTCATCGCAACGATGTCATTAAGTCAAATGTCCGGAACCTCGAACAATGCATCAATAAGCTTGCTAATGCGGAATCAACGGTCGTTTTCAACCAGACATGAGTACAAGAAAATATGTCGTCCAGTCATGCTGACATAGTTACTATATATATATATAATATATATATATAATATATATATATATATATATATATATATATATATATATTTCCGTGCGGACTTCACAATTAGCGCCAAGGATGATTTTCAGATAGAATGGACATCATTTGGCTCTCAAGCAATATCAAGCAGACTGCGTAAGCTTCAATCATACATTTTCGTGCAACATAATCCAAGAAGTTGGACATTCGTACTAGTTGCTGCGGAAATATGGTTTCTATCGAATCGTCATTGTAAAGAATAGCGCCTTAACCAAATATGTGACAGCATGTGAACACATTAGAGTCACGAATCAATATGCGAGAACACCAAGACAATTCCCTGTGCAAGGAAATGCTCCTTTTTGAGGTATTGAAACAAGCATCAGATATACCAAAATGAAGTCACTTATAAGCATTGGTATACTTTTAAGTGGGAAAGACTGCTCTAGACAACACATTTTCTCCATCTAGTACCTATGCTGCTAAACTAACCAAGCAAAATTATCCCTCATACACTCACTTGTAGAGCTTCAGTCTCCCCAAAAGTGGCTGTGGCGGTGATGAAAGTGACAAATGAAGCAAATATTGTTACGTGCTTAAGTTTCGGCCTTTTCTTTACGGTGTTCTTGCATGTGTATCCGTGAGTTTAAGAACTTGCATTTGCATGCTCAGTTATGGCGCTATTTTTAAGTCAATCGATTACAAGCCATATTCCCGTAAGAACTAGCGACCATGCCAACTTCTTACATTGTGCAACACACAACGTGATTCGGCATGAAAACTTAACAGCTTGCTCAAGATTGCCGAAAGCCAATTAACGCTCACCACACCTGGAGGTTGTGCTCACGAACGCCATACCTGAAAGGCTCGACGATTATATTCATCATGGCCTTGAGCGTCGCACGGTTTATTGGGTGGCAGGATTTGAATGACGTTTATATGGCGTCATACATGCCTAAATGATCTTCAAATTGTCCGCACGAAATGGCTTGCACATATGAGTGGGCGTGGAGCCCAGAGACCAGAGGGTTTATGATCTTAAGAAGGGCAATAGTGTGGACTGCGCGGGGTGATCTTAAAAATCGCTGTTTCAGTCCAAAACTCTACACAAATTTGGAGTACTCCCCTTAACGAAACTGATAGCATAGTATATAGAACGATAACAATATTCCAGAGAAACTGCTCCTTAAGCGCCAAACGGTGCGTTTTGGGCTTGACGGCTGAACGACCTGCTCACCATCGTCGATTTAAGGGCCAGGGTGGCATCCATACGCATGGGTTAAATGGGCTCCAAAGTATAATGCGGCTGGGGCCCCATCTGTTCTAACGTACACTGCGTGCAGAAACAAGACGCCATTAGAACAGAGCGTGTTGCAGCCTGACTCTGACGTGCTTCAGTCAGAGCTAGGTCACTTCAGTCAGAGTCACCACGGACCCGCCGGCTCCGTGGTGATCGCGCCCACACACTGCCACGTGCTCGGTCCCGCCCCCTGCGCGCACACCTGCAGGAAGTCCTGCACGTGCATACGGAAGGTGTGCAGGAGTGTCCTCTGGAGCCGGTTGATGACCAGCTGAGCGGACCCAGGCCGGTCAGGTTGGCTCGCAGGCCCCGTAACTGGTGGATGACGAAGTCTGAAACCCAGGCCGCCTTCGATGTGTGACATCGCGTGCGTTGACGCACGGCCGAGCTCATATTGGGGGGGGGGGGGGGTTATTGCAAATATCGCACCTAAAAACAGAAATTGGGCACGAATATAACCTGGAGGGAGAACAGCTCATCCCTTCCCCGCGTCTTAGGCAGCACGGTACATCCTCCCTCGCCCTCCACCCCTGGATCCAGCAAGGTGAGGATGGGGCGATGTCCACGCTGGGTTGAGGAATCGCCTGATGGTGTTCACCACTGTCCCGACATGCGGTTCTGCGCCGAACGCTGACTAACCGCGTCATCAATTCTGCGCCAAACGCTGACTAACCGCGTCATCAATTCTGCGCCCAACGC